CAAAGACTAGGAAAAATAATAATAGAGTTTCTAATAATAGTCTGTTGATATGGAGAGGAAATTCAAATGGTGCCAAAAACCAGCTTTCAAGTAGTAATAAGATGAGCAAAAAGGCTGGTTCAGGGAAACAGGAGAAGTGGGCAAGTGTGAATGAGAAAGAGAGAGACAGAGAGAGACAAGCATGCTTGCATTCTGTTGCCAATTAAGTGCTTATTATTATGAGAGCTAAAAACTCTTCAGAATGAATAAATGGGTTAAATAGAATGGGGATTACCATTTAAGTAGAGCATTCTAACTTTGCTTCAGATCCTGGGAATTCTATAAAATCACAAAGGAGAGAATTAGATGAACAAAATAGTTTAATTTAATGGGAAATTTATTTCAGAAGAGGAGCTAAGGAAAATTTCTGGAGTTAAGTAATAACATTTAGAATTAGGAGACATTTATGTAAAAGGAATGTCCAAGGATAAAGTTAAGTAATAAGAATTTTCAGAAAGACCTAGAAAAATCTGAGATAGAGACCTGAGGCACTTTACAAAGAAGAACAAAGAAAAATGTAAGCTCTTTATAGGAAATAATTAGGATAGTAAAATTTGACCTAGATTAAAGCAAAATATTACATATTACTGAGTACAGGCACAGGATCACATACACACACACACACACACACACACAGGCATGCACGCACTCATGCACGCATGCACGCACGCACACACTTCTTATACTCCTTGCTACCTTTAGGCTCCAGAGACTGAGATCAAAACTTTATTTCTGCTCCTTTTCTAATCTAATTAAAACATGAAATGTTGCCTATTGTCCGTTATCACTTTATGCATATTATAGGTTAAATAGAAAAATTAATATTAATTGAGGGTGTCACTTCATGGTAATATTTATTTTACTAAGTCATAGGAACAATGATTATTAAAGCAAAGCATTACAAAAGGCACCACTTAAAATTATATGCAGTGCTGCAAAACACTAAAAGAAAAAGCCCAATCCTTAGCTAGTGCTATCATGAAAAGAAGTTTTATGAACTCTCAAATTCGATCTCTATTTCAGAAATTGAATTGTTACAAAATATTTTCTCAGAATATGAAAGGCTAATTAAATTGTAAATAGAATTTTAAAAATTTTAAATCAAACCAAAAAAAGAAAATTTCCAATTATGAAATTTCCTCGGCAAACATCTATTGTGTTTTAAATTCTGTATTAATTTGATTTGAATCCTTTACCCAACCTAAGTGGCTACAATTTTCTTCTTTTAAATTTAAATTTCATAATGAAGAGAAGAGAAATGTACATTCCCTCACCAGATTGTACATGGCCTATTTATTAATGATGTTTCATTCCATATGGATTTCTTCTCTTTTATTTATTACTACCAGAAAGGATTGTCTTTAATAACTTACCAACTCTGGGATAACCAACTTGAAATGCAAACCTCAACAGTCACACTACTGCAGGTCTGCCACATACAATGGTTCTAGAAGGACCAGGAAAGACAGACTTTTGTGAGGAGCATGCACCAACCGTGATCCACAAATAGGTAATCCACTGAGGTTGGGGTTAAGGTTCGTGGAATAATTTGGAAATTATTCTCAGTTTGGACAGCATTTATAAAGCCTGAGAATACAGCCTTTAATTAGAACTCAACTTCCAAAGCAGCCACTCCCTTGAATTTCCAGAGCTCAGTTCTCAGCAAAGTAAAAACAGCCCCATCATATGGATAGCTAAGGCCCCTATAAATTACTCCTTAAATGTCCAACCAAGAAGGTAGTAGGCATCAAAGACCCAGTAACCACTGTCAAGAGCAAATAAAGAAGCCAGCTTTGACAGAGTTACTCTCCACTTCTGGGCCATGCAGTCAAGCTGTCCCATGGAAGTTTGGAAAAAAAGAGTGGGTTGTACTGTAGAAAATATTCCCATACCCCAGCCAGCCTCCTTTTTGTGATGATCCCTCCATCCAGCCAACCTCACACGACAGTGGGAACACTACCATCAATTCCATGAGAGCCAGCTGTCCGCCTCATCCATGGTGCTCAGAAAGCCACACAGGAATCCTGGAACAGAAGCCAGGCTCTAGGCCTGACTCATCACAGATGTTCCCCATCTCTTCCATGGAGCTCTGAGCCATTCTGTCTTGCCAAGGCCTGCCTTTTGTTATTACTGAGGATTTATGTTCCCCCCTTCCTCCCTCAATGTGCTCAATGCTGAAATAAAAAGAAAACACAAGGCCTCCTAACTTCAGTTTTAAGAGAACTAGACATTGTACATTGCAGAAATAGCCAAGGACTCTGTAGGGAAGACTAAAGAAGGAAAGTCAGCCGCCATACAGTTCAGTGTCAGGGAGCTAGACTAGAAGTCCATACCATAATAACAAACTTTCTAATGTCATCTAGAATTGAGTCAGGTTCAATGATGATACAAAGTATTGTACTTCTACTCATCTCATTATTTTCTTTTGCAGTAGTTCCAATCAAATCACCTTTGTCTAGAAAAGTGTGGTCAGAAAAAGAAGAGTTTAAGAATTTGTAAACCAAATGCCGAGTCAGATGCTCTCACAAATACATGGAAATGCTTACCAGCTCATGTTTCCTGCCTGAGTGTCATTGGCCTATTATCTATGGTATAACCACTCATCAGTCAGTGTTCCCAGCAGTCCTCTCAGAAGTGCTGAGAAATCTCCCTATTTCTCCATTCTTTCAGGGCACATTAGCAGGAAACTAAATATTTGTTTCCAAATACTCCAGTGTCTCATGGCACAGACTACACACCATTATCTCAAAAAAGAAAATTATTTCCTGCAATAGTTTTGATCAGTGTCCACTTAAGCAGTAAAGACAACAGAGTGATTCATTTGAAATCCATTCTCTTAAGCTTCACCAAACAGCATATACAGACTTAACACATTAGCCCAAACCTCCATACTTTTATGCAACAGGGACTGTACTTTTGTTTTGTTTTGTTTTGTTATTTTGCTCTAAGATATCTTATATACATTTGCCTTGTGTGGGATTTGGGGGAAAAAACATTAGGGAAATAAATCAATTAACTAAAAGACAAACTTACAATTCTGTTATAGCAAGGGGTAGGGTGAGGGAGAGAGATAGAGAAAGAGTAAAAGGCAAATAGAGAGCACAGTCATGTTTCCCAACAGTTGTAGTTAATACTTTTTTCTCTTCTAGTGTTCATAAATTCTGGTTACTAAGACTCACAGATAATATGCCCCAGTATCTCCAAACCTTGTTTTACAACAGGAGAGTCAATATTTAGATAAAAGATAGTCAATATATTTCAGGATAAATGTTTGCTAGAAAGGATACTTATTTGATTCTTTGTGGGGGGAATCTATATAAATACTGCTGTTTACTAATTTCTGAGTTTAATTTCCTTCTTTCCTGTTCTCTTCTCTGAGACAAAAGTATAGAAAAAAAATCAAGCTGATTCCAAAATTGAGCTGGAACACATTCATTTATATGGCTCTTGTTTAAAAACTGGACGTGCCTTTCAATACTGTCTTGATTGTTATTATTTGTTATCTGATGAATCAGATGCATCCTCTTTTTAAACTCAGTTTCATTTTTAGCGAGGCACAGAAAGAAGTTAAACATTATTGACAAGAAAGGAATGGTTCAAGTTTCAAAGTAAGTGTAATATCTAGCCCAAGAAAAGGTCTATATTATAAAGTCCTGTGACATGCTGAATTGACTTTAAAGAAAACAATACCTGATTCTCAGAATTGGTTCTCCTCTATCTACTCAGTAAAACTTAGATTAAGCCCTGAGATGTAGTCACCCTGAGTAAGAACTTCAAGTTCCAGCTACAACTCCAGCTATTAGCAAGGTAGAGATAGGAGGATCATAATTTGAGGCCAGCCCAGGAGGAGGTGGAGAGTATGAGACCCTTCCTGAAAAATTGCTAAAGTAAAAAAGACTGAGGGAATGGCTCAAATCAAAAGTGCTTGCCTAACAGGCAAGGACCTGAGTTTAAACGCCACTATGAAAGATTTACTGTTATGCTCTTCCACAAGTGTGGCATATTGTGGACGTTTACCTCTACATTTGCTGAATGGGACACCTCACTATTCTAGTTCATCTTGACTCTACTTCAGGGAACATAGGGATGGGAACATAAGCTCCAGAGAGTCTCAAGCAGAAACGCACACAGATTCAGCATTCCAAACAGCACATCCAAAGTACACATAACCATCTTGGAGCATAGCAAAACAATACTGATGCAATCTTAGGAGAGAGAAAGTATCAAAACAAATATGAAAATGATCCCAAGATACTAATTGTAAAAACAGATTTAAAAGCTCTTAAATAGAAAAATAAGAACAGTAAGAGCATAATCAAGTCATAATTTATTGTCCTGATGCTCCAAACTACTTTTTTTTCTTTTTTGGTCATTTGTAGGGCTTAAACTCTGAACCTGGGCTGAGCTGTCCCTGAGCTCTTCAGCTCAAGAATAGTGTTCTACCACTTGAGCCACAGCACCACTTCCAGTTTTCTGGTGGTTAATTGAAGATAACAGGCTCATAGACTTTTCTGCCTGACTGGCTTTGCACTGAGATGCTCAGATCTCAGCCTCCTGAGTAGCTAGGATTACAGGAATGAGCCACTGGTGCCTGGCTCCAAATCTCTTTTTAAGTGTTGAAATGTACATTTACTTAGAGTTGTCTGATTTCCACTGAGTGGATTTGGACTGAATAACCCTGAGAATCAAGTCCCAAACTTACAGGGCAATCTTCCTTTCTAAAATAAATAAATAAATAAAAGTATAGGTGTTGACAAACAGCAGTATTTATAGCCTAGTTTTAGCATTGCAATTTAAAGTAACAATGAAAGTACCTTCTGGTAAACTCTGTTAATTTACAGAATTGTACAGACATGTTCATAGCATGATTGAGAGTGCATTATCATATGCATATGGTGAGAGCACATGATCATAATCAAATCCCCCAAACACTCAAAGTTTCTCTGAAGAAAAATACTTACTTCTGATGAGTTCACCATCTGAAGAATTTCCCCAAATGGACTGCTCTTGCATCTCTCCATGTGTGAAGTAGCTTTTGGTAGCTTGATTGATATCTTTCTCAGTATTTTCTTTATTAGATTTTTCTAAATATAAAAAGAATATACACTCATCATCGTTGAATGCTACATGTTTTTCTCTAATTTTATTTTGCAAATTTTTCTAAAGCTTCTAAATATGTCCTAACTAAAGGAAAGAGAAACAGGAAGGAAGGAAGGAAGGAAGGAAGGAAGGAAGGAAGGAAGGAAGGAAGGAAGGAAGGAGGAAGGAAGGAAGGA